TAGGCAAGTAATAACTCTTGGAACAGCTTTTCATCTGGTTCGTATTAGTATTGGGCAGGCATTGTCATATTTTCTACCTATTAAAATTCTCTGCACATGTTCTTCAGGGACAAAACAGAGCTGCAGGATGTTAAGTCATGGAGCCCTCTGCACTCATGTCTTTCATAGATTGCTATGTGGTAAATAATATCTAAAACATACTAGTGTATTAAATGCAATAAAAGTAATCTAATCTACTAATATAGATGTAAAAACAATCATGACATGAGATATTTTGACTTTAGAACATGGAAATATTCATTTCCAAAGTAAATTCTGTTCAGTTAGTGTCAGATCTAGGTTTGATCAGGTGAAATAAGTCAATAAATAAGGAGTTCACAGATAAAAAAAAGGTGTGTTAAAGCTTAACTTTTTCTGTATCTATGTGATTCTTATCTTAGATTAAAAAAAAGGAAGATTTGATCTGGTTTTTATTGAAAGAAATCCTGAATAAAGACTTTTCACCAGGATAGCGGACAATACTCACTCAAAGGGTTTAAGAACATGTTTTTGATAACATCCATTTTAGAATTCATGTTTATGCATCCTAACTTATCTTAGACAGCTCCATTGATGTGCACAGACTTTTTGATAGGCAGGGGCAAAAAGAAAAAAAAAGGGCACATTTAGAGCATCCCAAACACTTTAGAGGGCATGCAAAAAAGAAAGTTAAAAACAATCCACTGGACTTTTTGCTTAAATGTTAGTACTGATGAAACCTCAGCTGAAAAGTCTATATTATACAGTATCTACAGATACATTAAAACACAGTTAATGATTTTTAACACCTGTTTTTTAATAAAAAAAATAAATAAATATATATATATATATACGGTATATATATATATATATATATATATATATATATATATATATATATATATATATATATATATATATATATATATATATCGTATATATATATATATATATATATATATATATATATATATATATATATATATATATATATATATATATATATATATATATATATATATATATATATATATATATATATATATATATGTATATACTATATACATATATATATACATGTGTATATATATATATATATATATATATATGTATATATATGTATATACTATATACATATATACATATATATATATACATGTGTGTATATATATATATATATATATATATATATATATATATATATATATATATATATATATATATATATATATATATATATATATATATATATATATATATATTTATATATATATATACATACATGTGTACGGTATATATACATATATATATATATTTTTTTATAATTTCCATGACGATACCTCGTTCTTGCCTTGTGTTATATAGTTAAAATATCTGCATTCTGTGTTTAGAGTTGACAACCTTGCATTGTTCTAGTGTTAAGATTTACCTCTATATATGAACTCTACTTCAAAAACAGCATACAAAAAAAGGAATATGAGAAAGTGAAATATATATTTTTATATTAAGCTCCTGCATCATCCTGCATCTTACTGCATCATATTGATTTTGCACCAAAAGTTAAGGTGAATGATTTTTCATTTTGAATTGAAAAAGCTTCTTGGATGGGAAGCGAAACTTCTTCACTTGAAAAAAAGTCCAGTGGATTGTTTTTAATTTTCTTTTTTTTGGAATGATCCAAGAAGCGATACTACAATAAAATTAGTTCCTAAATCATTAGTATGTGTGATTGAAGAAAATGTCAAATTCACCGTTTTTCTCCTGTTTTTATCTCTCATAACTAAGAAATGAAATCTCTTATCCAAAACAAGCAGGATGTGTTTCTGTAAGGCGAATATTAGCCTTTTGTAAATAAAGTTAGGAGAAAAAAATTGAGCTGCTTATGAGAAAACTGGACAGAGGCATACCAGATATTTATCCATGGGGCTACCGCCAAGACACCTAGATTTTGCCAGGAGCAAGTCACTTTGCTCTTTTGCCATCTCTACATTTGCAGCCTTTCATCTTAGTATAAAAACGAGTAAATTCGTACCTGCCTTTGAGAAATTATTGCAAATTAGCAAGCAGTAAGTTTATTAAGAGTCATCAAACAACAGGAAAGCTAACATGGTACATTAAAGTTGTTCAGTTTTATGTTTTCCACCTTCGTTAGTCATAGAACAAAACAAGTTTTTTTAAATAGTCTTCAAGTGAGGGGTTCGAGACTGATGGTATACTGCAAAAATGATCTGGAAATAAGTAAAATAAATCTTAAATTAAGTGTATTTCGCCTTAATTGAGCAGGTAAATAAGATTTTTTGCCAATGGAATGAGCATTTTTACTCTTAAAATAAGATAATTAGATAATATCCATTTGGAATAAGACGTATGTCAATTGTCTTGTTTCCATTGTCTCCTAAATTTAAGAAAAAATGCACTTATTCAAAGAAAAAATTTCTTATTTAGATTTACATTTCTGCAGTGTAAAAACTAGTTAGGTCATAGGACGAAAAAAAGATTAAGATAAAACTTTGTATCTGTTCTCTACCAAACAATACATCCCAAAGGCTGTTAATCATCATAGAGAAACTGAAATGGGATAGAAACTCCCAGATATAAAAGCTTTACAGAAAATTGAGATAAAAAATGAGCCAGAAATCTACAGAAACTGCTATGTGCACATAAAAGACAAAATATTTTTCTACATAATTTTAATGGGACATAATCTTCAAACGTCAAAAACAAACTCCATGTGTAAATCTCCTTGAGGGAACAGCACCCTGATCACAATGCAGGAATTTCTTCAATGAAATAGGGTTTTATAGTTGATTTATTGTGGGGTTAAAACACGAAAGAACAGGAAAAATGAAAACTCCAACAACAGATTGAGGTCTTCCAAATGATCCCTTTTTATGACAACAGCGTAAAGGATGTGAGCGAAGCTTGCCTCCTTGTTTACATTTTGATAATGTTGGATAAGGTTTCTGATGACAGCATGTAACCGAAATGTTTTACCTTATCTTCTTTCCTTTCTATTTGAAAATATAGAAATGATTAATTATTTCTTCCTGGCTATTTGTAGTTTTTCTGCAGGATGGTAGAGGAAGTTTTCTGCGGGGTGTAAAATAAGGCTACCTCTATTACTCATAAATGAGGAGCTGTTTTCTCAAGGCTGATGAGCGTCAGTCATTTAATAGCAGATGAATGAGATCACCAGTACTTTTTAAAAGTGACAGCCACATTATAGCGGGATAATTATTATGGTGGGCAGCCTTCCAGCTATGCAGTCTGTTTCGCTTGGGTGATCAGCTGCATGACAATGGGACCATTTATGTGAAGGTAAAAGCTCAGCAGAACAATTTAAAGGATGCAAAAAAGTGTTCCCACTCTTTGATCGAGGTAAAGTATCGATAACGCTGTTATTGGGCAACAAAAGGGTTAAGAGGTGGATATAAAAACTCAGATATTGGTTTTGTTCATGTTTCAGTACCATCTTTTTGCATCTTTTGGACATTTTTCTCTTTTATTTTGTGAGAAAACCAATTCAGATTGAACCCTGAGCCATATAGCTCCTTTTTAGAACATTACAACATATCTCTAGCAATAATGTACATATACAAATAAAAGCATATGTCAAAACCCTTTAAACAACAATAAAGAACTGATGGTGTTCGAAACAACTTAGAATGGTTACAATTAGGGCTGTCAGGTGGTAAAAAAATGTAATTGATTACAGTTTTTGTAATCAATTAATCTAATTAATCACATTTTAATCTTAAGCAGTCATGGGGAATACCGTAAATCCTCTAATATTGGCCTATATTCCATTAGCGGCCGGGTCTCTATATACGGCCGGTCTTGCTGTCGGCGGAGGTAAATAATGGGCAGACTCTTATACAGGCCGGGGCTATAATTAAAACCAACGATGTTCCTGGGCAGTCCTCAACAACTTGTGATAGTTCCGATCTGAAAGACAAACCTGTTTATCGGTAGGTCTGGTGGTAACCAGGCAGAGTTAAAATGACAGAATTTTTTTGGCCTTCGTTGTTCTGAATTTCCCTTGAAATATAAGATAGTGTTAGCCTACTTCCACTTAGCCTGCCTCAAATAAAATTTCGCTGTGATGGCAGAACAGTTTCCATTCATTTTTTTTTTTAAACTTTGTTTCGCAAGTCAGTTTGGCCTTTTTTTTGTATTGCCGTGCAGAAAAATTGCATCTGCTAGAAGATGTCTGAATAGTGTTCTGTATACTGTACCGTTATGGTAACTGTATGTTTTCAATAAATGAACCTAGTATTTTATAGGTTCAAAGAGACACAAAATGTTGTTTTTATTCATTCCACTAGTAGTCTTTTCTGATCAAATAGAAATAGAGGCCTGCTTCTAATTTTGGCCTCCTTCCAATAATGGCCTGGACCAAGATGTACCTGAGTGAAACAAAGGCCTATATTAGAGGATTTATGGTAATTTTCCTCAAGGGCTGCAATCCTTGCAGCTCTGCTCCCACATAGCCTATGAAGTTCTGTACAGTGACTTGTTGATTACAATTAGATATGCAGCAAAGATAAATTAGGTACCTTACAGGATGAAGGTCCAGGTTCCCCATTATTGTGCTAATGGTACCCAAATAAAGACAAAATTTTAGCGAATGGCTAATCAGTCTTCCTGTTGTGGCTTTGCTCCGTCGTTTACCACATTCGGCAATGCATGGGTTGGGTTAAGTGTGCTTACGGTAATACCAGCAGCTGTAGCTGCATAACTTCCCCCAACATGTTTTGCATTTAAATGATACGTCAAGCTGGAGCAGTTTTGGTGATAGAATAATTTTTTTTTTTCAATAATTACATATCACCTTTTTGTGGTTGACAGTCTCATCTTGATTCTTTTTTAATTGTGCCATTCATTTCTTCTCCTTTTGGGGTTGGCCTTTGGCAAACAGCTTTAGATGCATAACAGCCACCCAATACCCGGGTCATTCAGAGGCCCAAATAAAAAAATTCTTCTGCATTGAATGAGCACTCTGAATTAATCACATTTATTTATTTTATAATACATTAATTTGCAGTGTCTTTTATTCATCTAATTAACTAACAGCGCTCGTTACGATAAATGAACCATTTCCAACACAGACATTAAACTAATATAACAATGTATTACAAATATTAAGGATAACATGTAACTGCTGTTTTACTGGTGATGCCCTATAAATATTTTAAGAAATGTAAACTTGTTCATAAAGTGGTTATAATTAAGCAGGTTCCTTCTACAAGAGGGATAAATTGATTTAGACTGTTCACATAGGCTGATGCCTCCAGTTGAATTTCTTTCAAAGGCCAAGTGTTTTTTTAGGGTTGGGTCTCTTTTTTGACTTTCTGCTGTTCGGTAATTTTCTGCCACACTGGGACTTGGCTTTCCGACAGAAGCAGATTGCGTTGAAGAAGCGGCAGTGGCAGGTTTCACAACGACCGCAGCAGCCCCACAGAGGCACGCAGCTCTGTCCGAGCTGGGAGCACTTGGAGAGGATGGGGTTTGGGACCTCTCTGGGACGAGGAACGACGATTTGAGGTGAAACAATCCTGGGTTTTTCCTAGAATTTTAAGGGAATTTGTGAATTATTAAAGAAGTTTCATATGCCCAATAATCACTTTTTTAAAAATCTATGACACTCCAACTTACCAGCACAGCAATCTTCTGCTGTTCATAGAGTCTCCTCCTTGCAAACAATGGTGGCATTCTGCCCTGGCTTTGATACCCTGATGAGACACCATCATAATAATTCAATTAAGGAAAAAATGTGTAAACTAACCAACCAACATGTTAACATCTAAGTGTTATATAACTATATGTTCAAATGTTACCATCAAAAAATCCAAACATAAATTCAGATAAGAACAGAAGTGTATGAAGAACTCAAATTAATTACTAATTATGGGTAAAATTCACTAATAAGAAAAGTACTTAGATAAACGTCTGATACTTTTTCATATTTAATGGGAAAGGAAAAGTGACAACTGCTTTTTTACATAAAAAGAATCAAGATGAATAGTGTCTTTGTTTGTCACTTTACTTTACTTGGGGGGTTGGAGGAGGTAGAATTTATTGAAAATCCACTTTAGTCAGAAAAAGACATGCTATTCACACAGTACTTTTCCAAAAAATTAAGAATAACATAAAAGCCATCATGTAGAATGACATGCATCTTAACTCTGCCATCTACTTGAGAAAACTAAAAGATCCTTCCATAAGAATAAAATGAAATTCCAGTCTGTCCTAGAGAGAAAAAACTTAAACCGCATTGAATTAGAACAACTTAGAAGCAAAACAAAAGAAATCTCAGTAAACTTTAACCGCAATAATTGAGGATGGTACTTTATCAGCTTTTAGTACAATCTTTAGAATGAAATATAACATTGTTAATCGCTTTCTTACTTTTCTATAGAAATAAACGAAATTAACATTTCTGTTCTAAAACAACAAAATGGGGGGCTTATTGTGACGACCAGTGAGGATTGTGGACCCTGACAAGTTTGCACTGCAATTTATAGGGGAACCTGATTAAATGTGGTGGATGCAGAAATTTCAATAATTATTCATTGTTTTTCTTCCAAATTAAATCCAAAAAAATACATTTAGATTCAAAAATGCTGGTTCAGAGAGTACCACTAGCAGTATACTGTACAACCTAACATCTACCTAAAGTCAATATTTACAATGTTTAAGCCATCCTCATTATTATTATCTCCACTTAGCCATGTGAAATACGGATTCCACAGTGAATATTTGTGACTTTTTAATATTTTCAAAATTTAATCACAACTTCAACATTTATTTTCTGACCGAGATGAAATAAGTCAGAACTTTTAAAACCATAATTTTCCAAAGTGAAAATAGGCAAACCTTGTATTTTGCCACTGAAATAAATCAAAGCACCTCAGACAGAGTTAACCTTTTACGTCTTCAGTAGAAAATACCTCAAACACTTTAGGAATGGTTGAGATTGAAACTGAAGCATCACTCTCACCACACAATCTGCTTGAGGGGTGTAGACAGAGAAGGTAAATGCTTTGCTTGTGTTTAAAAGGTCAGCTCCAGACAGGTGGCTGGAACTGGGCTTGCCTGACTCATTCATAGTGCAGTCATATTGATTTATGTATGTTAAGAGCTGCATTGAAAACGCCAGGGTTTCATTTAAGGTTGTAAAGTGTTTTTATAAACATATAAGAAAGCTGCTCTCTTTTTAACATGTATGGCCTTAAGTTCTTTTATTGCTGCTTTTCAGAGGGGGTGCCAGCCATGCTGAGGCAATATGGAGCGCAAGGATCCTTATTCTTTTCTGATTCTGATTTGCTGATATAAGCCGGATAGCAGAGGCTCCCCTTTTCTCTTTTCTTTTTGGTTGAATAAATACAGAAAGTATCTGCACATACTACTTTGATTGAGATAAAAATAATCCATGGTGTCGTACGTCCGTAAATCAAGGTGTGCATAAAACTGTCTCATTCATAACATAAACCACATTCTTCCCTAAACTTCTGCAACCATAAAAATCAGCGAGTATACCTCAGAGCTCCTGTCTAACCTGCTAGTTAAATGCATGTCTTAAAAAATAGCAACTAGCTCCCACTGAAGAATAATGCCTCCCTTAAAATTAGTCTGCGTCATGCCCTGTTGTTTATATAAACTGTAAAAAGAATAATGGAGGATTAAAATTTGCAGAGGTGGGTAGCAACTACACTGAAATAATATGGAGTACCATTTATTTAGAAAACTCTATATAAGTTTTTCCATATAGAAATTCTTTGTAACTTTCACTCAATATAATCCAAGTTGATGTGACTTACTAAAGAGAGTTGATCTAACAAACAAACTCAAGTAAATTCTCAACCAAATGTCTCTTATCAAACAAATTATGTACTTTTGCTTTGCAAGTAAATTTTACAAGCACAACTATGCACACACGAGGAGAATCTGGAGAAGCCAATAAACCAAAAAAAGTAATGTTTCTGGACTATGGGAGGAAGTACCCAGAGAAAACCCACACATTCAAACTCCATGTGTTTATTTTTAAGGTTGCCTTTTTAATATCTGGCTGGGGGACTACCGATGAAAATTAGCATTCCTTAGCTAACTCGGGTATATTTACATTGTTTTAATGTTTATTAATGTACACTGTCCCCTTTCAAATAAACAATAAATGAAATGAAATGCAGAAAGACCCTGGGATGGGGATTGAGCCCAAAACCTTCTTGCTATGTGACATTAGCGCTGTAAACTAAATATTTTCTATTTTCGACCTTAACATTGTCAAGCAAGGAAATAAAGAGGGACCAACTTTACTTCTTATATCTAAATACAGTTTACTTGTATTGGTTAAGTTGGGAACTTATCTAAATTGTTTTTTTAATACTGTTTGGTAAGATGAATTAAATAGACTTGTCTTTTGATGGATATACACTATATTGCCAAAAGTATTTGCTCACCTGCCTTGACTCACATATGAGCTTAAGTGACATCCCGTTCCTAATCCATAGGGTTCAATATGACGTCGGTCCACCCTTTGCAGCTAGAACAGCTTCAACTCTTCTGGGAAGGCTGTCCACAAGGTTTAGGAGTGTGTTTATGGGAATTTTTGACCATTCTTCCAGAAGCGCATTTGTGAGGTCGCACACTGATGTTGGACGAGAAGGCCTGGCTCTCAGTCTCCGCTCTAATTCATCCCAAAGGTGTTCTATCGGGTTGAGGTCAGGACTCTGTGCAGGCCAGTCAAGTTCATCCACACCAGACTCTGTCATCCATGTCTTTATGGACCTTGCTTTGTGCACTGGTGCACAGTCATGTTGGAAGAGGAAGGGGCCAGCTCCAAACTGTTCCCACAAAGTTGGGAGCATGGAATTGTCCAAAATGTCTTGGTATGCTGAAGCATTCAGAGTTCCTTTCACTGGAACTAAGGGGCCAAGCCCAGCTCCTGAAAAACAACCCCACACCATAATCCCCCCTCCACCAAACTTTACACTTGGCACAATGCAGTCAGACAAGTACCGTTCTCCTGGCAACCGCCAAACCCAGACCCGTCCATCAGATTGCCAGATGGAGAAGCGCGATTCGTCACTCCAGAGAACGCGTCTCCACTGCTCTAGAGTCCAGTGGCGGCGTGCTTTACACCACCGCATCCGACGCTTTGCATTGCACTTGGTGATGTATGGCTTGGATGCAGCTGCTCGACCATGGAAACCCATTCCATGAAGCTCTCTGCGCACTGTTCTTGAGCTAATCTGAAGGCCACATGAAGTTTGGAGGTCTGTAGTGATTGACTCTGCAGAAAGTTGGCGACCTCTTCGCACTATGCGCGTCAGCATCCGCTGACCCCGCTCCGTCAGTTTACGTGGCCTACCACTTCGTGGCTGAGTTGCTGTCGTTCCCAAACACTTCCATTTTCTTATAATACAGCTGACAGTTGACTGTGGAATATTTAGGAGCGAGGAAATTTCACGACTGGATTTGTTGCACAGGTGGCATCCTATCACAGTTCCACGCTGGAATTCACTGAGCTCCTGAGAGCGACCCATTCTTTCACAAATGTTTGTAAAAACAGTCTGCATGCCTAGGTGCTTGAATTTATACACCTGTGGCCATGGAAGTGATTGGAACACCTGATTCCAATAATTTGGATGGGTGAGCAAATACTTTTGGCAATATAGTGTATATTTACAAATTCATTCTAACACATGCAATAATTCAATACAATTCAGTTTATTTATATAGCGCCAATTCACAACACATGTCATCTCAAGGCACTTTACAGTTCACCAAATCATTAAGTCAAATTGATTCAAAGTTTGCACATCGATTCAAAATTGCATCGACTCACTGACTCGAAAGCAATGCCTCACACTAAGCATGCTTGTAGCAACAGTGGAGAGGTAAAACTCCCTTTTAACAGGAAGAAACCTCCAGCAGAACCAGGCTCAGTGTGAGCGGCCATCAACCGAAGCCGACTGGGGTTATAACAAAATTTGTCATTTTGTATTAAGGGCACTCCATGGCAATTTGCAAAATCTTACATAAAAACTAAGGTAATATTTACAGAACCAAAAAGTCATATTTTTCGGTGTAACTTAAAAAAAATGTTCTATGAGTAGTTTCAGAGCATTGCACCTTCCCCTTTAACCTGAGTAAAAAGTATAATAAAGCATCACTAATCTTAAGTAACGTTTTGAGCAACTCTACCTATAATGAGTAACTTCATTCAGTGAAGAGCAAGCATGTTTCAAACAAGAATACAAAAGACAAACACCTACAGTTTATGTTTATGTGAGGCTTATTTTTTATACTCAATCTTTATATGTTTACCTGCTGATCCTAATGTTTCATTTTTAGCTCAAGTGAAAATACAGTAAACAGTTAACTGCATCTTGTACTGAAAGTAACTTAATTTATCCTAACCTATAGTATATGCAAAACACGCTGTAAGTATTGATTACATATATTGCATGTATAACAAAAATAGCTTTAAAAGCATTTCTTCCACCTGAAGTAGTTTTGGTTTAGAGTTTTTATGTTTATCTTCTTTTTTGTCTAATGAAATGCTAGAAATAGCAAACAAGATATGTAACTTTTCATCATGTTTAAAATATGTTCACATTTTATGAATAGGATTTTTCCTTTACCAAATACATTTTTAGTCTTAGTCTAGTCCTTTCTTGGATGGATGCTTTTTACTTTATCTAAAGTAAAAATACAATAAATACTACTACCCT